AGGCAGACAAATCCTGAAAATGAAGATCTTGATCCAGTCTTTGTCAAAAGAAAGCCGACACCACGTATAATGCCAAGTCTTGATGATACAGTATTATGGAAAGAAACGTTCTTTCTCAATTTGATTGTTCAGGTGCGAATTTTTATAAATATGGTTCTTTTAACTGTCGTCAATTACCAAAATTTATTTTTACGTTTTGTATGTTTTAGTTACCTTGTAAATTAACGGTTGCTGTATGCACTCGTACACCAGCTGATAATGCAGATGGTCCTAATCAAAAAACAAGTATGACATGCTCAAGAAAGCATGTATCCAAACGCGTTTATGCACTTCCAACTAAATCAAGAATGGATATTAAGGAAACATCCATGGAATGCTCCTACCCAATTATTTATTATGTTATTGATGATTATGAGGAAATGTTTGAACATTTAATTGTCAGTGAGGGGGAATATTTGTGTGTCGAATTAGCTGTGACAATACCAAATAAATCAGACGAAGATGATGATCTTAGTGATAGAGATAATGATAGTGATGATGATTATTACGATGGAACTACTAATATTAGGCGCAATCGACATCGAAGGTCTATGACAAATGAACCATTTCCACAGCATAATGATACAAAAATAACCTTGTTTCAAGGTGCAGCTTCTTATACTGCTTTGCTAGACATTTATAAGCAGAAAACAGCAAACAAACAAAATAGAAGGTTCAAAATGGGTCCTCAAACACCACCTACGGAATATATCATGATGCGAGGCCCAGGTGGGAAGGGACATGCTCAGGTCTGTGTTATCATTATTATTTTATTATTTTATTTTTCTTGTGCTTGTTATATATAGTTCAGCTGTTAAATTTAAACACAAGAAAATTTAGAGATGCATGATCATAACTAATTTAATATTTATTGACGACAGGTGGCTATCACGGCATCATCTTTGGATGATGATTTCTTAGATAGTACATCTCCACCTTCATCTAGAAACAGTGCATTTCCTGGCCTAGGTCTTGATAATAATTGGCCAGAAAATAAAGCTACAAATAATCAAAATGGCAAATCAGCAGTCCGGGGTCAAAGAGCGGGTTCAAATAACTCATTTTTTCAATCATTGAGAAGAATTTCACAGTCAATAACCGATAAACCTGCACCTGATCCGGAAAATTTAAAATGTTGCATGACATTTGTGAGTGTACATTGGACTAACATAATCACGTACGGAGAAATGTATATCATTCTTTGTAATTGATTTCGCTTTATTTGAATTTTATTTATTAATCTATTAATAATTTCTTTTTAGGGATCTTACTACATACGCAAAGAAAAAACAGCAAGCATTATGATTTACTAATAAATAAATTTTTTTTGTGTATACATTATAGGCCGGGTTCTATTTTTTGTAGCCATTTTAAATTTATCAATATCTTTTTTCTAACAGCAACATGTAGCTTTATAGTGTGCGATGTGATATGTATATTATATCATAATTTTATTTATATACAGGTAGTATATTGAATGTAAATTAATAATTGGAGTTGTTCTAATTAAAAAATATATATACACATATATATGCATTAATCTATTGGAAATTTGTATTTTTTTAAGTTGTTTTACAATAATTTTTATAATGCATAATTTGAAACCAAAATCTAATAATCATTTATTAATTGTGTTTTTTTTATTTACATTTATCTAGTGAATTGTTTTTTTTTCCTATAAATACTAATGAAATGTTATAAAGAATGATGAATTTAGGAATTATCTAGTGTTAATTACGTTTTTTAATTACGAATCACCTATGTTGCTTATTACTTGATATTCATTGGCATCGTCGATATCAGCGGCTTTCTTTTCTCCAATCGGCAATAAAATAAGATATAATATAAATGCAAAGTATATTATTCCACATGTGTAGCCAATATACACATTAGGTAATTCTTCCAAATGTGTTATGAACATAAAAAGATTAAAACATATGAGAAGAAAAGCAAGAATCCATGTAAGGTATTTAAATGTATGATGTATATGAAAAGTTCCCATAACGTTTTTGGAACTAGTAAGCTTAAGAATTGGAATTAATGTAGCGGGTAAACATAGGCTTTGTAAGACATTGAGAAGTTCACCCATTGTATCGAAATGATTAACCTGTTAAGAAAAGAAAAGTCAATTATAATTTCAATTATAATTTAGCATAAAACTGAAGATTCAAAAAAAAAAACTAACCGCAAATACAGCCACTAACATGGAGGGAATTATCGCGATTCCTCGGGTGACTGCGACACGTTTCCATGGATTTGATAATATTTTACCAAAAAATCCTTCCACAACATATTGCCCAGCGAGGGTTCCTGTCATGGTGGAGCTTTGGCCCGCGGCAAGTAATCCCACGGCCCATAAATATCTCGCACCGCTACCTAGCGTCCGTGTTAAAACATCAGCCGCATCATACAAACCCGGTAAAGGTTTTACGTTATGGTGAGAATAAAATACACTAGCGAACACGACGACAATGGCCATATTTATGAGATAGGAACAAAATAATGCCAAAGCACTTTCGATTCCAAAGTAAAAATTAGCTTCTTTAATTTTTGCTTTCGAATTACGGTTCACTTTACGCGTCATCACCAGAGCAGAATGTAAGTATAAATTATGTGGCATAATCACAGCACCAATTAACGCAACAGCTTCTACCACCGCACTCCTTGGCATTATACGTGGTGTCGGCTTTCTTTTGACAAAGACTGGATCAAGATCTTCATTTTCAGGATTTGTCTGCCT